ATAGCGATATCAATTAGATGGTGATGATAAAAAAAAAAAAAAAAAATCAAATCTAGGGAAAAAATACAACATAGAATCTGCTAGAAAATAAACAGAAGGCTAGAAAGTTGCGCTCTCCCATTAGTTTTGATATAGATGGTTGGAATAGTGTTGAAAAATTTTTAGTTTATCAAAAGAGGTTTAGCCTCCGTTTGGGAAGTGAGTTGGTTTTTTGGCTTTTTTGACTATTTTAGTCTGGGTTTAAAAGTTTGGTTTGGGAAAGACTTTTTGACTTTTTTGAATTTTTTTGTGAGAGAAGAATGTAATGATTATGGGTTAGATGTGATGTTTTGTTTGTTATGGCTAAAATAATATATTTTATTTTTTGTGGCTAAAATAACCAAAAAAACTTACAAACTCACTTGCCAAACACAGGCTAAGTATATGATATTTGTCCAAAACTAACTCAAATCAATCAACGCGCACTACGTCATGGATATTCCAAAGAAAAAGTTCTCTATTTGATTAAGAAAAAATTCAACTGAATTGATGCATTTAATATTCATATGCTTAATACCCCATGAGTCTTTCATAAAAGGGAGAGGTCGTTAGTGCGTAGTGGCCCTATTTTGAATTCATTTTGATAAATCTTTTAATGTGTATGGTTTATTAAGTACATCATTTTTATAAAAAAAAATTACATTGATCCAACATTTAATCATTAATTAAATTGTTGACATAAATGTGATCCGATTAAATTATTATAGATGTCTAATTAATATAATTTTTTACAAAAATAATATACTCAACAAAGTTTACGCATTAAAAAGTTTGAATTATCAAAATAAATTTAAAATAAGGCCACATGCATACCAACAATACCGTCCAATTTGTCTTATTATGAATTGGAGATAAATCAAACTCTAGCAACCCAAGTACACATTACTCTTATTTTTTTATTTTACTTTTTTATTTCACCACCACAACATAGGAGAGTTTTAGAGATCAAATTTTTTAGTATTTAAAAGTGAAAATTTTATTGCAAAAAACACTTAGGAATTAATTTCTATTGTCACGAGGATAGTCGTTAAATGTCGTTCCCAAAAATTTAAAAATTAGGCTTTTAGAGACAAAATTTTAAAAATGTCACTAATAAATACACTTTTAGAGACAAAATAATTTGGTCTCAAAATAGTTTATTTTTTGAGACAAAAAATTTGATCCTAAAAAGATAATAATTCATTACTAATGTCTAATTTTCGTTTCTAAAAATATAATAACGATACTTTTTATAACAAAAATATTTAATTTTTAAAAGATAATTTTATCCTTAAATTTTAATTTTTAAAATACTTTTTTATAGTGTATATATATATCAACAATGCTAGAGGGTCACAAAATTAGTGGCTCAAATGACTCAAAACTATTAAAACGACGTCATTTTGAGCACAAAATAATACAAAATAACGTCATTTTAATAATTTTAAACCATTTAAACTATTAATTTTGTGATACTCAAACATTTTCCTATATATATATATAACTATATCTTATGCCTCTTTAGATGACCCCCGTGCCTGTGCTGCTTCCACTAAAATTTTCACTTTTGTTTTACTCCAACCAAAAAGTTAAATTCCACAGGGAGGCTAGAGGTTAGAGGAAACCCTCCAAAAGAAAGTGTATGGAGCAATCATTGAGCTGGAATATTTTATCTTCTGACATGCAATCTTTGTTAGCAGAAATTGAGGCAACCAAATCACATACATACCATTGTACAATAAACAATAAATAAATTATATTTAATTTTTGTTTTCTTTCTTTTAACTTGTCTCTAGTTAAACTTTGAATTAGACCGAGCAGTTAAAATTTTTTTATTGGTAAGATCATTAAATAAATTTTTTTTATCGGTAATAATTTATGAAAATATGTCCTAATTATATTTTTTCAAAAATTTTACCGATAAGAGTATTCTATTTAATGATTCTTACCAGTTAAAATTTTTTATTTAATGAATCTTAACGATCAGAAATCTCAATTGTCTGATTCAATTGAAATTTTAACCGGAGAAAAGTCATTTCTTAAAAAAAATAAAAAAAATTTAGAATCCAAGTCAAGCAACAATTGGTTGTCTAAGCTATTGCTCACAAAATTGATAATTGAATATCTTCTATTTGGTCAAATAACAAAAACAATATGTACTCATAAATGTGTTCATATAATTTAAATTTATAATATATATTTAGAAAAAAAGAAATTTGACAGCTAAATGTTTAATAACCATAAAAGGATAGATTTTTGGCAACTAAAACTTTAGTAGTTAAAAAAAATAAATAAGATGAATAAAAAAAAAAATTTGGCGATATTTAGTCATCCTAAGTAATTGAAGTTTTTCGTGACTAACGTTTTAGTCGTTGAAAATGCGTAGGGGTATAAATTTGGCCCAGCCTAACCCATGTTGGGTCTTGCGGGCTCCCGCTAAAATTCGGGCCGGCCCACGGAGCAAAAAATTAGGCACAAGCCTAGGGGTATTCAGGCTTTCACCTTTCTTGCTTTCACCACATATGTAAGAGTTTTAGAAACCAAATTTTTTTGTCCCTAAAAATGAAAATTTTGTTGCAAAAAACATTAAAGGATCAATTTCTATCGTCGTGAAGATAGTAGCTAAAATGTCGTCTTGAAAAGTCAAAAATAAGACTTTTAGCAACAAAATTTAAAAAATGTCACTAATAAATAAACTTTTAGGAAGAAAATAATTTGGTCCCAAAAGTGTTTATTTTTTGAGACAAAATTTTAGTCTTAAAAGGATAATAATTCATCACTAATATCCAAATTTCGTTGTTAAAAATATAATAATGATACTTTTGGCAACAAAAATATTTGGCCCCTAAAAAGCAATCTTGTACCTAAATTTTTGTCTCTAAAAGCTTAATTTTTTGTAGTGATAACACTCCAAATGACTCTCAATTGTATTCAATCATTCCTCGAACACATCCGGAATGTAGCTTCCATGGAATTGAGAAACACTAAATCCTTGACATCATCATTCCACCAGGAAGTTGATGATCTTTGGAACCCTTACTACCTTTGGAAAGAAGTTGCAAGTGTTGTATTTTTCCAACCAAGGTAGCTAATTGTAAACTTAACTCTTCAACCTCATTCAGTTGATTTTGGTTTACCATTATTCCTTTCAAATAAGGATTCATCCCAATTTCATCTTCCAAATTTGTAGCAAATGCTTTACTTTGGCCACCCTGTCTATCTTTACCTCGTTGCGCCATTGACTTAAAACGACCCAATATTCATAAGTCACAACAATATGAATCAGATCACCGAATAACTACTAAACAAATCTCAACAAAGCAACCAGTTTAGTGATTTTAGTAAACCCCACACAAATATTGCAACCCACCAATTGAACTTAAAGAAAAAATCTATCACAAAATTACTACTAGTTACGAAATCAGTGCATACACAACCCAGAATTAGAACCAATATTAGGTATAGACTATGTTACATCACTTCATAGTAAAAATATTTGTCATGAGTAATTGACACTTGTAACCCCTTAAGGTTAAACGCCATATGCACAATTTACAAAATTACGTAAGTTTTTATGAACTTACATAAGCAATTTGCATAAGTCTATTTATAAAAATTTTAAAATTCACAAAATTACGTAAATTTTTACGAATTTACATAAGCCATCTAAAAAATATATATAACTGAAACAAAAAAATTACATAACAAAAGTACATGTATACAGTATGCAATGCATACCTAAGAGTCTTTTCTTATTTAGAATGTGTCTCATAATTTTCATCAGACTTGTATATTTACATTTAATATTGTTATATGTATATATTGTTGTTGATATAAAATGAATAAATTATCTTTTTGATATTGTATGTTACATATAACACTATTTATTTTTCATAACAGATTAAAATATGAAGATATAATCATTTTTTGCTAAATTTGCATATTCTTAAATTTTGAAATTTAATGTGTTTGACCTCTAAATATACACTTGCGTCATACATCTATATACTAGTCTATGTAAAAGTGGAATAGTTGCATTTCAGAGCGAGGTTACGTGAGAAAATAACCAAGGGAGGTGTACATGGCTACCTCTGGCGACGAAGGTAACGTCCCCAAGGTGAAAAAGCTCTCAACAAAGGACTACATGGCAGCGTTAGAGGCACGACTCGATGGGATGATGGAGAGTGTGGCAGAGCGGCTCACTAGACTGGAGGAAGCTTTTGTTGGCCCTGGTAAGCCCATATCCTATATAAGAGAATTTTTCTCGTTCTTTGCTAGTCTTGTTGCTAGGGTAGAAGAGTTGGAGGAAAAGGTTGACTCCTTCGAGGAAAGGGCGAACTCGTCTCTCTCTGAGGCAGCTAGAGACAGTCCCACCGAGTGGAAGGCCCTGAAGGCAAGAGTGGCTAGCTTAGAAGTGGAGTTGGAGTTGTGCAAGAAGGCCATAGTCCGCTGGTAATGAAGGAAATTTGGCTCCAACAAAGCGGAAGGTTTGTGCGCCAGAACCTAACAGCTATGATGGTACGAGGGATGCCCGAGAGATTGACAACTTCATTTGGAACATGGAGCAATATTTTGAGAACGTCAACATCGTGGATGAAGACGAGAAGGTGCAGACCGCTACCTTGTATCTGAAGGACACTGCAATGTTGTGGTGGAGGAGGCGGTACGCCGACATGGAGAAGGGGTTGTGCAAGATAGAGACTTGGGCAGAACTCAAGAGAGAATTGAAGAGGCACTTCTACCCTGTCAATTAGATATTTAATTGGAGTTTTGTAAGACTGTCCTAAAAATAAATCTCAACCACCCATTGATTTTTCAAGTAAAATTCTAGACAAAATTTTTAAATTTATAATATTAGTTATTCAAATAATAGGGCAGCCTATGTGGACCGACCGTGCAATATTTCCAACTTTCTTGCCAATCCAACCCTAATTTTCAAAAACTATACATTCACGTCAACTAAGATACCTCCTCTTTCTCTCACCTTTCCCTTATACTTTCTTGTTCATACGCATATAAAAAGTCAAGTTCCACTCTGGACTTTATAACCACCCAACCTTTTCCACTTCTCATTTTCTCAGGAAAAGCCTAGAAAATGAGCAAAGAAACTCCATAACCATAACCACAAACTGCTCTCCTCCAGCATGAGCCATGGCGAAGACATTGCTTACAACGTCGTCATGGCCTTCCTCTCTTTCTCTCTCATTGCCCTCGGTGTCATCCTCTTCTTCCTCTACAAGAATAAACCAGTTGATGAGTTCCAAGAAACCATACCCACCAAGCTCTATGCATCTCCATATTCACTAATGGACATAGATTCTGCCACTGATGGGTTCAACCACCGGCGACTTATTGGTCAAGGTAGGCTCGGAACTGTCTATGCAGCTGTGTTGCCAAGTGGAGAACTAGTCGCCGTGAAGCGGATTCATCCCCGGATTGTTTTGAGCAATGCAGGTTTCGGGTTTTATCAGCTTTGTGCTTGTGAATGTTTTTCGTTTTTTGGTTGTTTCAATTTGAGTATTGCATATGATTGGCTTAGGACATGGGCTATCCTAGTTTTTTTTGTGGGGGCCATTGGACCGACTAATTCAAGAGACTAATCTCAATGTCTACTTGGGGCGTCCCAATTAAAGGTAAATAATTGGCACTTAGGACGTTTGGAACTTGAAACTTTGGAGGAAACACACCCCAATTCTCAAGTTTTAACTATCAGGCCAATATAGTTGAATCATGATTTTAAACAGCTTTATCAAGATACAGATCAATATAGCTGGTAAGATTAAATATCAGTCTCTATTGAAAATATATCAGTGAATAATGATATCGGATGTCCAAAATACTGATACAGATCTGCCAATATTTATAAGGCCTTGGTTGGATGTGTTTCTAAGCAACGATGCTTCTTTTCAAACTTTTTTATTGATGTTTTTGTACATTTACTACATTGTCTCATAAATAATAATTTTTTTTTTTTACTAATGCAGGTTTTGGGTTCTCATCGATGCTCAAGTGGCTGTCTTTGGCTCACCACCCCAACATAGTCCCGGTTCTAGGGTTTTCAGAGGCTCCAGGAGAGAGAATTATACTAATGGAGTTTGTGGGTATGATGAGTTTGGACTATTATTTGCATCAAAACTCCGATGACATGTCACTCCTTGATTGGCACAGGCGTTTGAGGGTGGCAGCTGGGGTGGCTCGGGCGGTTGAGTACTTGCATGAAGTGGTGGCACCACATATAGTCCATGGTTGCATTAAGCCCTCAAATGTGTTGATTGATGTCAAGTTTTGTGCTAGGGTTTGTGATTATGGGCTGTCTTTTTTGGTACCTCAAGAGAGGAGAGGACTTGAAGGGTATGTGGATGATGAGTATTGGGTTGAGAGAAGAGGGGTTTCAAAGGAATGTGATGTTTTCGGGTTTGGGGTGGTTTTGCTAGAGCTTTTGAGTGGGAGAGGAAGTGAAAATGGTTTGATTGTGAATTGGGCGTTGCCTTTGATTAAAGAAATGAAGTTTGGTGAACTTTTGGACCCAAGATTAGTAATTCCCTCTGATATGAAGCCTCTTGTTAGATTGGCCAAAGTTGCATCAGCTTGTGTTGGGAATTCTAGAAGAAACAGACCTTCTATTGTTCAAGTGGCATCTATTTTAAACAATTTGGAGATGGATCTATGTTTTTGAGTGATGGGTTTCTCCAACACTAGCCAATGGGTCATCTTGAATGTGTAGGATTTTTCTTTTCCTTTTTTCTTATGTAAATTATATTGTAGTCGTTGTAAATTGTCTGGGGTTAATTTGAATATTATAATTTTAATTGTATCAATTTTATTCTTAAATTTAACCGATTACGTTAATTTTGGTCCAACTAATAGCATTTGTTAAGAAATTGAACAAAAATTAAAGACAAAATGATCGTTTTAAAATAAGAGAGTGAACGAACAACTTTACCTATTGATTTTAGTCCAATTTTTTACAAATTCATTATCAATTGAACTAAACAATACAATATAAAAAATTTAAAATTAAAATTGAAACAAATATAATATTAAATGGATATACAAAATAAAATATAAAAATTACAGATATAATTTAGCCGTTGTTCTTTTCTCCACACAAAACTCTTCACAAATTTAAAATTAAAATACAAGTGAAAACGAAACCAAATTAAGATCCTAAGTGGAAATTTTGGTAAGTTTTTGTCTTTGATGTTGTGAAATCAGATTGGATAAGATCAAAGTGGCTCAGTTAGAGCTGTCCCATGAGAGAATAAAATGTTTAAGTGGAGAGAGAGAGAGAGAGAGGAGAGTGGTTGGGCGGTGGTTGGTTGGTGTGTTGTCATGGGCGGTGATTTTAATCTTTTTTTTTGTTTGTTTTGTAATTACGTGTGGAGTGGAATGGAGTTGGATCTTGTTTGGTGGTGAGAGGGACCCATTCCCATCAATTCCTTCTCGTACGTATTCTTTTAGTTTTTGGCTTGTCATTGCTTCATCATTTCAATTAGGGAGGTAATAATGACTCAGCCCACTCTGATCTGGTCTGGCTTGTTTGGGCCCGGGCTTGGGTTCGTCCAAGCGAACTTTGCGGGCTCTCGCCTTTTTAGTGGGCCAGGTCAGGCCGGCTCATGAGCTAAAAAGTGAGAACCAGACCCAAGCCCAAGGTCACTCATAATAAGGCCTAGGGTTTGAGCTGCAGGCCAGGTCAAGTCAGGCTTTTTTATATTTATATTAGGAATAAAAAATTTTAAAAAAAATTATATTAGAGTATTTTAGTTAAGATTAATGAGAGGTTTTGTTTGGTTATGTAATATTTCATGGTGATATTTAAATTTAATTATGTATGATTTATATTTTTTTAATTATGAACTTATAACTAAAAAAATATATAAGTACGTAATTTTTTTCTTTCAAAATGAATAATTTTATATATATGAAAATGAAACTTTCAATATTACAATATTAAATTATTTATATAATATTTATTGAATGAATAATTTTTATTTCAAAATGAAATAAAATATTACAAAAATTGATATTATTAAATAAATTAGGTGTAGATTACTGATGGTGGTAGAGCAATTGCATTACTATATGTCAAGTACATCCCAACTAGGTTGGCACCTACTAGCCTACCAATTATTTGCATTATAATCTACCTCAATAATCTAATAAAAAAATAAAAATAAAAAATGAAATAGTAAAAAATAAATTGTTGATCAATCATCGGAGGAGACAGACATTTTAGTCGCGTTGCCCGAGCCTATGTCATCCAAATCATTTTGAATTCACTCATTTTTACTATAATTTTGTCTTCTTGTAAGCGCATGTATATGATCTCTGGATATCATTAGTGTCTCAACCATTTCGGGTGAAAGCCTGCTCCGGTAATCGCTCAGCACCCGTCCACCTACACTAAAAGTTGTTTCCGAAGCAACTGTAGAAATATGAACGGTTAGTATGGGTCATCTGTAAAACCACATGCTACATAATTTCATTTTGTTTCAACCATTCTAAAATGTCAAAATCATCAGAATCATCCACTGACAGGCTTTCTAAATAACGTTGTAGTTCAGAACTACTTACACTTGTATGTTGAAATAATCTTCTACTTTTTATTGTTGAAAAAACACTTAATCTCTTGTCTCGAGATGAGATTGCTAGTGTAGTATGTGTGTGGGTGTATTTACAGATATAGCTGTCCTGTATTCTTCAAATAATTTGTTGCATGTTTGCATAATAAGGGCAAACTGTGTATGATCATTGAAAAGACGCTCTAAAAATTCTTGTAAATCAATTTCTTTACACCTAGATATATATATATATATATATATAAGAAAATAATTTTGTTGAAGTATCGAAAATTTTTAAAAAATCTTTATATAAGGCTTCTTGGAACCAATTAAGTTTAGTGAGAGTCAGTACTCCTCCTATTGATGTTGTTACAAAAAATAAATTTATCGCTCTTCTTTGTTTACAAGCTATTTTTAACATATTATATGTTGAATTCCACTTACTATCTACATCTAAAATTAATTTTCTAAATGACATATTTTCTAGTTGACAAATTTTTCTATATTTTGAAATTCGATTACCAGAAGACATAATAGTAATAGTTGTATTTTTTATTACAAGTACGGAAGTTTCGTATACATGCATATATAGCTCCTTTAACAATCAAATTAAAATATGGGTACAACAACGAATATGAAAAAAATCACCATCAACAAGTAATTGTATAGTTGATTTTAAATGGGCTACACTTTGATTATAATATGATGCATTATCTAAACTAATCGCAAATATTTTATTTTGTAAAGCCTACTCGTATAGCACATTTCTTATTTCTATACCAAGAGAATGACCAGTGTATTTAAATAAAATAATTCTTTTATTTAATTTTCAATTATTATCAATAAAATGTGCAGCGATACATTGATATTCAAAACCATTATTTTACCACAGATCAGATGTTAAACAAACTCTTCCATTCAAAATTTTAAAGATGTCAAATAATTCACTTTTAACATCCTCAATTTTTTTAAAAATCTTGTTTCTAGTAGTATTTCTTGAAAAATTTTGATATTGCAGTGGAAAACTTTTGTGAATTATTTTGGTAAAATCGGAACATTCACTAGTAGTAAAAGGTTATTCTTTTTTAATAATATAATCAACTACAGAATTTTGTGCATGTATAGAATCATATGAAAATGTTTGCAAATTACTAATTGATGAAACCCCTAATTGCATTTGACTTCGAATGTCAAGTTGTTGACTTTGTAAATGTTTGTTAGCATGTATTTTTAGATGACTAGTACCCCATGTAGATGCAACACTAAGTAAATGTGCCCAATATTTACATTTTGTTTTAAATGTAATAGTACCATCAGGATTATTTATAGATATTTTTTCAAAATATTCCCAAACACTACTACTCCTGCTTCTAGATAATGATCCAACTGTTGGAAGAGAGATATTAGAAGAAGAATCAACAGATTCATGTTGTGTAGTATATGTATTAACATTGACATAAGCATTAGGTATATTAGGATCTATAATAATGTAAGTAAAACAATATATAAGAATTAATAATTAATTTAAATAATGTGTAAATACAATCAATAAAAAATAATAATTAATATATGTGCAAAAATAATTAATGAAAAAAATGAGTAGTTAATAAATTTAATTAAATTAATTTGTTACCTAAAAGACAACCTAAGAGGGGGGTGAATTAGGTTTTTACAATTAAAATTAATAATACCCTAATAAAAATTATGACTAGCACAAAAGATAAATATAATTAATGAAATAAAAATAATTAAAACAAGTGTCTTAACAACTATGTCAGTTAATGATTTTAGTATAGTAAAAATGTGAATATAGTTATGGTAATTTAAAATAAAATAAAGAGATAAGGGAGAGAGAGGCAAACAAATTTATAGTGGTTCGATTTCAATTCGGCCTACATCCACTCCTCAAGTTTCACTTGAGATTTTTCACTATCTTCTAGCTTCACAGGGGTGCTACCAACCTCTTTACAAATGGAGCAATTCTCCATGGATTTTACACAGACTTCACAAGCCCAAATCCTTGCAAATCTTAGGTGATTCACAATCACTCTTAAGATTTCAAGAACACAGTGTTTGCAACATTTTTACAAGATGAAATGGTATTTTTGTTTTCAAAGAAAGCTTACAATAAATATCTCTCAAAGATATATATATAAACTGAAACTTTGATTTTTCTGTAAATCTCACACAGGAAAGATGAGCTTAATGCTATAAGGTTCAGCATATAATTTCTGAGAAAGATGTGAGTGATTATAGATCAAAGAATATTTTCAGATTTTTTGTAACTTGTTTACATTAGAGGCTTTGGTATATATAATGAAAATTATAGCCATTGTATTCATTTGAATTTATAACTGTATATAACCGTTGTACTTCCATCATTACCAATTTGAATATCTTCCACTCTATTATTACAAATTTGAATATCTTTCACTTGAACCTTTTGAACCTTTTGGCCTTTAAAACCGTTTATAGCCGTTGTACTTCCATCATTACTAATTTGAATATCTTTCACTTGAACCTTTTGCTGTGTTAGGTTGTTTGAACCTTTGTTTTGGGTTATTTGAACTCCTGATTTAATCAAATATTAAATACATTCTAACAACATGTAGGATAAAGGTTTAGGTAAGAAATAATGGGACAAAATAAATTTTGATTCTATTTTCTCTTTCAAATAAACCATCAAAATAAATTTTGATTCTATTTTTCTCTTTCAAATAAATCATCAAAATAAATTTTGATATAATTAAATAAATCATCGAAATAAATTTTGGATTCTATTTTTCTCTTTCAAATAAATTAAAACATAATTAAATAAATCATCAAAATAATAAGTCTAACAATCTCTCCTTTTTTTATGATGGCATACAATGATATTTTGATTTGATTTGGGAATAAGAAAAGCTCCCCCTCAAGTCATGCTCCCTGAATTCATTTCTAAATACATAGGTTAGCACATGTGTAATAAATAAGCTTTAATTAGAGACATGATATGAGACTAAGATAACATCAGATTAGTTTGAAAATAATACCATAATGCATAACATCATAATATCATAAGTTTCTTCCCCCTATGACATTATCAAAAGGAAATCATGGGTCAGAATCTGGAGGAGGAGGAGGAAAATGATAGGGATAATTGACATCAAAAAATAGATAATCAAAACATATATATACATATATGCATACACATACAACTCTCCCGCGTCTCTCTCTTTTTTTGCAAAATGCGGTTGCCACGCGGCTTGGCTTTTGCTTCATTGGCTGACA